TCAACAGTCTACTCTTATTATTACAGCTTATTATTGAGTGTAGTTTCTTTGAATAAAACAGTCTCCCCAGAATTTTTTTTTATGTTCTTTGTGATTGTTGCGGCCTAAAATTACTAATTCTGTGGCACTTTTTTCAAAAAGCTACTTTTTTGGAGGTGGAGAGCGCTTTACTTTTGCCATAACACGATCTTACAAAAAAGTTAAGATTTGGGAAGAAATAACCTTCCCAAAAAAAGGACAGGATTTTAAAACAGTTAATATCTAAAATTCAAACAACATTTTCAACTACATTCTTAAAATATCACTCTTGGTACAAATAAAATCATGTCTTGGGGAGAGATCAATGTGCAAAAAAAAATAAATAAATAAAAATCCCATATCTGCCATTTAACTTAATATTTCAAAATGTTTTTTGCAAAAATTAAAAAATAGAGAAAGGCAAATGTTACAGTTTAGCATCACACATTATGTTTTCATCTGGCATTTTTGGCTTTCAAAAAACGTCACGAAACAGGAAGTTAAGTTAGAAAAGTAGGAAATATGCTAAACATTAAAGTGACTGGTCAGATTTTTCGGAAAAGTTGCGATGGCTGGTGAAAATGCAACTCTGCTCAAAATTTGGGAATGATGTATGAATTTACATCAATAGTTGCAAGAACAACCGCCTGTACAACACTGAGACTTTTCATAATCAAATCAAAGAATAAACTCCAATTACAAAGAAAAAAAAAGTCCCATTAGGCATAAACCAATCAGACATCTTTCTGTTACCTTTTCCCTGGTGAGTAGCGTGATGGGCGGCACTCCATTAGCGTTCTCATTGCCTTTAGTTATGGCCACCTGCTTGAGGAAATCCACTTTCTTCTTACTGGCCAGGAAAATTATTTTGGTTTCGCAAAACACCATGATGGTGTCGGTCAACTCGTAGCCAAAAAGCCAGGTCTGCAGCAACAAAAAAACAACAACAAAAAAAGCACATACGTGTGTGATCTGGTACAAGGACTACAGTGAAAACAGAAGGGAAAAGGCTGCCACTGTCTAAAGAAAATCAACAAAACAGCTTATAATCAGATTAAACGAACACAACAAAGTCTAAGTAAATGAAAAGAAAAACGGGAATAGAGCTTAGACTTGAGCTAAACTGTAATTTAGAGATAAGACTGAAAGTTTGTGTTCAGGACTCTTAAGTACTGCTAACTGTCGCTGGTGGTATCATGCAGGGTTTGGTTGTTGAGGCCTGCACTCACCTGTATGGCTGTGGACTTGGCGTACACGATTTCCTCATCAACTCCCACAGAAACCACAATGGCGTCAACCTTACCGAACTCATCCTCTGCTTTCTGGAGAACACACACGGACACACGCACAACGTGACGAAGCCGAATGATACAACTTTAGACAAAATGCTCTAAATAAAACCAAAAATCAATTATTAAGACCGCTTGAGTTAAAATAATGGTTTAAAGTCATATGTATTGAAATACATATTCTTACTGCACATGGTTCTGGTCTTTATAGAGTGATGCTGCATTTGATTTGTGCCTAAAGACATAGCTTGGATGTGGGAATGCACAAGTTGAATGTTCTGGTTGGAATTTGGGAAAATAAGCCGGATATTCCAAACATTGCACCAATGATGAGTAGCAATACAAGCCAAGGTATTCAGGGTTTCCCAGTATTATAAGCCTGGTGGGCCACCAGGCTTAGCATTTCTCATTTAAGGTTTTTTTTTTTTTTTTTCCAAACATTTGCAGTTTTTAAGACTTTATAGTTGGTGGTCAGATATAAGTCTTCCAATAACACATAATTTTCAACATTTTTATAATTCAAAAACACAACAGGCAGCTGGATGAATGACTGCCGAGCACTACAACCACCAGGCTTAACGAGTTTTCTGGCATTTCTCTTTCTATTTTATTGAAACCCATTAGGGGACCTTTCACAAACAGAGGCTGCACAGTTACAATATGCAAACGTAATATAAAAGTATGAGAAGTGTTGATGAATGGCTAATAAGGGCAATTTTCACCATATTCTATGAACACAGTAGACACAAAAATTTTATTAGGGTAGCTCCTATTTTTCTATTACAATTTCACAGTTCTTGGGGTTATTTTCAGCCAGCTGGCTGGCAGTGCACAGCAACAACCGAGGTAGAATGAGTGCTGAATTACTCTATGCTCCAGACTATGAACACTCTGCTCACCCCCGCCACATTCTCCCTCACCTTTAGGTAGTCAGAAAAAGAAAAATAACGAAAGGCTGCAACTTTTTTAATGCTACAACAAAACTAGCAAAAATACAGCGTAAAGTAATTAAACTGCTTTAGGAAAACCAAATGAAAGAACCCACCGTGGTCCCTGACCATGTAACTGGAATGTTATTGAGATGCTAATTAGCCTGCTAACATTAGCATGTTGTCAACACTGGAGATGTAAACCGACATGAACTAAATATACCTGCGGTTTGCTTAATGTCCCGTAGACCGGTGCGGACATTTTGCTGCATTTATATATGCATTTAGACCTTTAATGTGATTTGTTTATCAAGGGAGCAGACGTAACACCATTACAGGTTAGGTCGTTCGGCTAGCAGGCTAGCTAACGTGGTGAATGTGAGGACTGGTGTGCTAACATGAGGTAGCTAGCCACTCTGACGGACAGATAAGACAAGAGGGTAGTTTTCAGAAAGTTGCGAGGGGGCTCCATGCCGTGTATCTGGGCAGTATAGCTACTACTGATGCCGTGCTGGCTTTTAGGGTCGCGGGCTCAAACACATACACACCAACACTCGCCATAGATAAAACCATGGGCTAACTTAGCGGTTCAGCAGCTCACTTTTTACAACTATGGTAAACTCCAACAGGCTCCCTGACTCCGACACGCGCGTCACATCGATAACAATCACCTTCCAGTTGCTGTATAGTCTCTTGATTCGGCGGTAGTAAGCCTCCTTGTCCAGGTTTACTGCCATGGTGAGTCCCCCTTTCAGCAAACTCCAGCTCCCGGCTTCGCCTCACAGCAGGCCGGATAACGATGACGGCGAGTGTCAACCAACAACGCACTTCTTCCCTTTCCACGCCTGCCGAGATCCAAACACCACGGAGAGATGCTGCAGCCTGCCTTACAATTTCACAGTTGTTGTTTTTTTTTTCTTTAAATCAAGCAATCGTGTAACTAAAATAAATTAAGTTATAAGCATTATTACTTAAAAACGTGCATATTATAGTGTAATGTAAATCCTCCCCCCGTCGTAATTAACTCCTTGTAGCCCCCTCCCCCGTTTCTTCCTGCGCTCCTTTTCCCTCCCCCTTCGAGTATTAACACATCACTGTCATAAACATTGCTATAAAACTTTACGCAGCTTGAATGGACATTATTATTTTAATTTATTTAGAAGAACAATCATTTAAGTAAACAATTTTTTTCACGTTATGTCGGTCATTACATTTGTTTTTATGGGGCATTGTAGTACACGCCGCACAACAGCGCCCCCTTTCCTGTCTTAACCACGTTGCTTTTTTTCCCGCCACAGCGCGTTGTAGATTTTCTTCCCGCCACAATCATTAAACGGATCTGGTGACGTCAATCTCGCGATACAAACTGCGAAATCAGACTCACCAGCATTTTTAAGGAAAACAACTGCAGTTAAGCCGTTTATCCACAGAAATAGCAGTAAAGCACAAATATTAAGATGAGAGAGCACTGGAAATTATTGAAAATGGTTATTTTAATTACAGAAAAACAGCAAATGTATCTATATTTAAAATCTGTCTTAAAAACATCATTTATAAATTAAAAATGTTTTTATGTGTAGCTTATGTTAGTTTAAACTTGACTGTTTCCATAAATGTGTACATTTGTGGAGTCTGGAGGAACAATAGTGTCTTTGTTCTTTTAAAATCATCTATCCATTTAAAATACTAATCAGATTTTCCTTAAAAAAATATATATATATATATATATATATATATATATATATATATATATTTTACTGATTAATTTTATGGTTTTCTCCATTGTTCTAATTTTTATTCCTTAAAATAAATTCAATAATTTCAAATGAAATTCAAAAATACATGCAAAATAATTATGTTCTGATCGTTTCCTATATTGTTTATTTCTTATATTTATTTATTGCTTTGCATTTCTGGTTGTTGGAGTCTCTAATTTTCATGATTTGCATAAAGTAATTAAAAAGAAAAATCAAAATAATTTGAGAAAATGGGAAAAACAAAAACAAAGTTAACACCAAAGTGTAATAAAAAAAATCTGTTATATTATAACATAAAATATTTTTATTTCATAATTAAAAACATTGCCAGAATATCTACAATAGACCACACCTATCCATCTGGAAACTTTTTTTTTTTTGGTTAGCAACTAAATCCTTTTATTCCTCAGTCAACCCGCCACTGATTTCTATGGTGTGGTAAGGGCCATTGTAGATAGGGAAAAGAAAAGAGAACATTTCTCCCAAAACATTTTGAGATTGCCAGAAAAGTTGGACATTTTTCAGTACAACCCTTGTGCAGTCTTAGCACGACACACAGTAGTACCGCGGCGGATGTCACGGTCAGACAACGGGGAAGCAGGGAAGTTTGGATGGGGGGAGGAGGGTGGATCGCTGTCCCATCAGACCGTCAGTTTCCGGCTCCCCCCCCCCCTCAAAAAAAAAAAAAAAAAACTTATTGTAAAAAGCTTGTGGGGTCTAAATGAGCTTGGGAGAGTTAAAAAGTCAAAAATTTGATAGACAAAAAAAATTCTCAAAAAAAGGGAAATTTTAATAGTTGTACATTTCTAAGATTTATTTCAAAATTTTAGATTTGCTAATTTTCATCTTTTCAACAGAGGTTTTAAAAAATGTATAGAAATTTTTAGATTTTTGGGCAAAAATTTTCTTTTTTTTTTTTTTTCAATCTGCAATGGTCCTAATACTCTGTCACATATTACTTTAATGGGGTAAAATTTTTTCGTAAAAAAAGAAAATTTACAATGTATTCCCTTTACAGCAAACGCTGCTGTTAGAGCTGGTGTGTTTATTTCATACTGGTTTTCCTAATTCCATCCAGAAATGATCACAAATCTTTATATGCAAACTACGCAGCACATGTTCCAGAAGCTCAAATGTACAGGGGGAAGCAGACGTTAGCACCCGTTTTGTGTTTCTGACCAGCAGCCGTTCACTTATGGAAAGTTGGTCAAAAAGTGTCTTTTAAAAATGCGTTTGACAAAATCCCATTTCTGGCAGGTTCCCTTTTCACCCGCCATGTTTAACTCCTTCTTGCACGATCTTGAGATGGTTTGTGCTTGGACTGGTTGTCGGTTCCCCAAACGTCTACATTAGCACAGATAACAAAGAAAACCGAATCGTCCATAACTCCCAGAATTCGTTCACAATGATGCGTCGTCCTTGTAACAGTAAAGGGAAGAGCACAGATGAATAAAACAAATGCATCAGCAGGTCCCCCCCCCCACCTCTACATGTCATTTTCCTTATGTTTTCTTTTCTTGAAAATAATTAAAAACACCACAATGTTCATATAAAATGTTCCTCGTTTTATCAAGTTCTTTTCTCTTTTTTTTTTTTCCAATTCACAATACATGATCAACATGAAATACGTGGAGCAGCGTTAGCCATCCGTCTGTGTGAACGAATCCAGTGCTTGCAAACAGGAAACCGGAGGCAACTTCCACCCTCCTGCCACCGTGAGGTCTTTGTTCTTGTCCCCGAGACGATGCGAGTGTAAGAAAAAAACAAAAAAAAAAACAACAACAAACCACCTACGAGCCGACACCCGAGTCAGTCATACGTGTTTTGTTCGCAGTTCATTTGTAGTATTTAGTCCTGTTTGTGTAGCATCGTTTCCATTCTCTATGTGACGGTGGTGGAGTTTGACCCTCGGATGGCGCACCAGGCCATGAACACGTCTCTGTGGAGAAGAAACAGCGGGGGGTGAGGAGAGTACTGAAAATGAAATACGATTAAAATGACTCTGGAGTCCTGACGCCTTAAGCCGGGATACATTGAAAAAAAACTTGGATTAAACTAATTAAATTCCCCAGCGATTAAAAAAAAATAGACGAAAGTAAGATATGACTCTGCAGCCATGGAGCATTGTGTTTCGCAGAGTTTTGTAGTACAAAATACATTTATTATTTATAAGTACTGGAGCTCATTCGCATTTATTGTTGCACCTCAGATTACACAAGTCATCTATCTCTCTTCTTATAATAAACATTTCCATCCCCACAGGCTGCAAAAACACCAACATAAACACTGAAATAGCCACGACTCGCCAGCAGATGGCGACAATGATACAAACATCAAGCAGAGATGTTTACTGTTCACAGTCATGGCTGAAGGTTTTGGGACTTCTAGAAAAGGTAAAGCTACCCTGAGTGCTATGTAATGTCAACGTTTTGTGTGGGGATTTGTCCAAATAAGCGAGTCCAATGAAAACTGTGCAAAAAACAGAATCAAAACATCCTCATGTAGCACATTTCCACAATGATTCAAGAGTGATTTTATGGGAAAAAAGGTTTCGCTAACCAGAATCAAGGAAACTTCACTTATTTTTCATGAAAAGCAATTTGAACTTACAAAATTGTTTTTTAAACATCCAATTACCCTCAGAAAGGAAAGAGATGCAACCACAAATAATACAAGATGTCTAAACGACAATATTGTCGTTTAGACGAACAAATGGTTTTAATTGTAGGTTTTACTTTCTACAGAGTCAGACTTCAAGCTACAGCCTGTCTTGAATTGAAATATTTAGTAATATTTCACTTGAGGTTAGCCTGAAATAATTTAAAACCTATCAACGACAATATCATTTACCTGACACGTTTCCTGCATTTATTTCAGGTTTTTATAAAAAAAAAGGAAGAAAAAAATGATCAAATTTCAGGTTTGAACTAAGGCTGTGTCACCATAGTTCTGTGTAAAACGTATTTACAAAGAAGGTTTTCTTCATCTGATGCAAAATGTATATTTTTGTACATTTCTGGTTTTTATTTCTGCTATAAGTAAATTGTTCTGTTAGCAAATTCATTTTTTTTAGTCTGTTTTCTCCAGTTAATCGATAAAACAATTAATCACAGTTAATCTTAATTTAGTAAATTAATCTGATTAATTGCAATTACTCTCAAATAATAATGATTAAGTCAATTAATCGTGATTAATCGCTTCAACTCTAATCAACAGATTAATTAATCTTTATTACGACGTGTGCAAGTACCTGCAGTGTGTGGCGACACACTCGTTGCTGCAGTACTCCTTGTCCCAGTCTTCGCTCTCCACCGCCGGCTTGTTGCATCCGGCGCGCACGCAGATGTTCGGGGCCTGCGCGGCGGTCACACTCGGACCCGGCGTCACGTTCACCTCCACCTCCATCTGGAGCAGCGGACAAAGTGACAGAACATCTAAACCATGCAGAATAACTCAGGTACGCATCAAAAGTACAGCAGCATACCCCTTCCTCCGCTTCCGCCACCTCCTCCCCTGCCATCACCACGGCGTCCGGCTGCCCCACCTCCACCGTCACGCCCGACGGGGATGTCAACGTGTTGCCAGCGTCGCCGGCTGCCGTCACTATGATGGGCGTGCCCGAGTCCTGCTGCCGCGACGAGGGGACCACTTTGATCTGCAGGGGTGGCGGAGCGGTGGCCGCGGCTGCGCCGCCACCCCGAGGTTTGGCTTGCAGAGGGGGAGGAGCCTGCTGCAGTCTGGGCGGCGGCGGGGTGTTCTGCATTTGCTGCAGTGGGGGCGGCTGGCGCGGCGAGGAGGCGGTGGTGCTGGTGACGGACATGCCGCCAGACGGAAGCGGCATCTGCTTGATGATGATCTTGGTGACGGTGGGAGGGTTGGGGGCGGGGCTCGGAGCCGGGGCCGGGGGCTTGGCGCCGGTGCGGGACCGCGTGGTGACGTGAGGCAGGTCCAGGATGATGTTGGAGGTGCAGATGTTGGTGATGGTGTTCTCCTCGGGGTTGTAGTGCTGGGACCTGGAGGGTCGCGGGTTCGAAGTGGAGGCTTGTGTGACCACCGGAGGAGGAGCGGGGGCAGCGGGCGGCGGCGACGGTTCGATTTCCATGACTTCAATGGGAGCCTGAGGAGAAAAGAGCTGCTTACAAATTGCAAGATTTTTTTTCTCACGTCACCTCAAAACCAGTGCTGCATCTAACGATTATTTTAGCTAATCGATTAATCTATTGCTTATTCTGATGATTAGTCGTTTGTAACGATTAATCGAATTTAAAAACTTAACACATTCTGCATGTTTTTCATTTAAGCCTTTTTACAATCGTTAAAAGATGTAAATAAGTAAATAATTCAATTCCTTTTTAAATGAGAAAATAAACTTTGTATTGCCTAAAACATCATTCTTCTAGTGAACATTTGATCATTTACATCTCAAGAATGTGAAAAGCTCAGCTGTTCCCTGAGTTTTTTTCTTTTTAAATGCAAAATTTAAGTATTTTTTTTTAGAAGTTACTTAGTGCTAACTAAGTATCAGCAAATGCCCTTTTTTGAGTCTGCAGTTATTAGGTAATTAGTTGAGCATCATTTCAATAATCGATTAATCACGATTAATTGTTTCAGTCCTACTCCAACTCAGACGTACCTGGGAGTTCTTGTTGGCTCTGTACTCTGATAGTGCTTTCAAGTACTCCTTCTTTGCGGCTTCATTTTTCCTTTTGTAAACCTGAAGGAAAGTCAAAACATTCAGCACCACGAATCAAGACTGATTCAAATATTCTGCAGCATCCGATTGCGCAAAAGACAAAAAGTTCTCCTACTTGTTTTTGTTCCTCTCCCAAACTGTCCCACATTGACGCCACAATCTTAGAGACTTCTCCGAACGTAGCGTTGGGGTTCTGGCCTTTAATGGCCGCCTGCGTGTCCCTGAAGAACAAAGCGTAGGCCGAAACGGGTTTCTGAGGCTCGTTGGGGTCTTTCTTCTTCCTCCCCTTTTTTCCTCCTCCTCCTCCTCCACCTGCTGCTGCTGCTCCTTTCCGTCCGACGGCCGACGAGACGCTGGAAGTGGACGCAGAGACGGGGGACTCCGACATGGAGGGGTCGAGTGAGATGACACCGGGCGAAACAGCCAGAGACACCGGAGACTCGACCAGCACGCTCTGATTGGGGGAGGAAAGCAATAATCAGTCTGGAAAGTTCTGAGATGAAACTAATCACAGGATTTCCTCAACATGGAATTGATCGTGGCGCTCTGCCACAGCAAAATAAAAGCCACCGAACCTACTTTTTAACGTATGCCAGCGTATTGTAAACCTGGCGGGCCACCAGGCTTTACTCGCCCAACCAAACCAGGCTAAACAGGGTTTATTTTAAGTAGGGTCTTTTATACACTAGTAACAGTAAAAATGGACTGAGCTGGGTTTACAGTTGACGCACTGAATTGAGCGAGTGTGGGTGCAAACAAATTACACCTGATCGTTGGCCTCACACGCTATTATTTACAAATTACTAACCATAATCAGAGTTGGAAATAAAATGAACTATCATGAAACGTTAAATTGACTTCATCTTAAAAAACCAACACTACTGGTTCCAGCCTGACTGCCTGCTGTGCACTGCGCTGGTTTCAGGACAGAAGAAACTGGAGACGAAAGGCTGAAGTAGAGAGAGAGAAATGGTGAAAGAAAGGTTTTAAGGAGGTTAAGTTGAATGTATTTTTAGTTTAAGTGTGTGAAAAAGACCCTCATGTTAACGTATGTGGCACCTGAATGACAGTAGACCTACTTAATATAGTTTGGCCTTAATGCATCATGTTTATTGACATCTTAAAGTCTCCCTGATGATGGTTTTTAAGCAGCAGCGTCATCACAACCTCCCAGCCCACCATCACTTTTTATAAAGAATCCTAGATGAAACCCTGGATCATTTAAGATTCAGACTCACCCGTCTAAAGTCGTCCATGTCGTCGTCCTGCAGCGAGCTGGTGGGCGACGCCGTTGCCGACAACGGATTCTCGGGCGATTGGGGTCGCTGCAACATGTTGCCTCCTCCTAGACCGAGCCCCAGCTGAGCGCTCAGCTCTGATTGGTCGATAGTGGTCAGCTGGTTGGACCCCAGTAGCCCCTGGCCCATGTCACCCAACGGGACGTCTATGGTCACCGGAGATGAGCTGCTGAACTGAGACCCAATGGGGTGGCCCAGATCCTGAGGAACGGATGAAACCGGAGTGAATAAAGGTAGAGAAGATCTTTAGAATAACCAAAAAATAATAATGATAAAAACTCCTCACCATCCCCAACGAGGAGCCCAGCAGAGCGCTTCCTCCCGACTGGTTCATGACCCCCAGGGTCAGGTGCTCCAAGCCCTGCGAGGGAGCGCCGACGTAGGGGGCAGCGAAGGACGGGTCGTCCCCTTCCACTACGGCGTTCCCCGGTACCACCACGCCGTCTGAGCCGCCGGCGTCCGACAGTTCGCCAAAATGAGACACCACGTCGGACACGGTGAGCGCCGAGTCCGGGTCCAGAGAGATGGGCGGGATCTCGAATTCCTCATCGCCGAGGCTGGGGGTGTGGAACGTCTGGAGATGCGAAACGGCAACAGGAGAAGGCAAAATGTATTTAATTTGGTCAAAAAATGATGGCTCAGGCCAGCGATTCTTCTCAAAAACCAAGATTGGTTCCATCTCTGCGCGCAATATCGTAAGAGTAGCTGTCGTTAACCAAAAAGGGCAATTTGAGATGTTTAGACAAAAGCGGGTTTTGTTTAAACTTTAAAACAAACAAAAAAGTTGTTCAAGTTGGAATCTTTTCATTGGAATTTCCTGGAGCAGCGCCCCTACAGACGAGGAGGGGAACAGGTTTTTCAAAGGTTTGTATCATTTGACACAGTGCAGCAGGAAACTGCTGCTGAAAACGTAACAAATGTTGCCATTTTTGTTCCCAATGTAACCAAATCCACTGAAATGTCAAGTGTGAAAACTCAAATTCTCAATCACACACACACACACACACACACACACACACACACGGTATTCAGGCCGTGCCTCCTGCTAGTACGGTCCATTCTTTCATCACGTGCAGATTATTTCTTGAGCCTTGGACCAGAGCCCTAAACGGGATTTTTTTTTTAAGTCCAACTTTTGCTGAAGGTCTGGCAAATCCCTCCCACTAACACTTTGATTAATACTGAATTGTACCACATCAATTAAAATTCTCTGTGCTTTGAATCGCATATTTTCATGTAATCTGACATCAAAAAGTGCCATATCTAAAACAGATGAAACCCCCAGAGAAAAAGAAGCAGACGACATTCAGAATGTCTCAACTTTAATCCAAAACAATGTCTCAGTCCGAACACACAAATACCTGAAAATATGAAAGTGAACAGGTTTAACTTGAGTTTAAAAGAATTAAGACCTCATCTGGTCTCAGATTTATTGTCTTCTAAAATAAAATTATCCTGTTCTTTGGTCATTAAAGAGTTTTGGGTCATCTTCTTCCCACTATTTTTTTTTACATTTGGATGAAATTGGGCATAATGAAATTCACAAATTCATTTAAATTGCTCTTTATCCGCTTTTAATTTGAATCATTTTTGTAAAAGTTACATTAATTCAACATAAACAACAACTTCTCATCTTCATTTTACTTCCGACCTCAGTCGTATTTTTCCATCCTGCCAACGACGCCAAGACTGAAGCTCTGAAGCGACATCTTTCAACACTGAAGCCACACGTCTGAGCCCGGCTACATAAAGTGATGCAGAGCGTTAAAGGTGCGGGGAGAGAAAACACCTGGGACAGGTCACGACTCAGACATATGAAAACGATCCTCAGGCGAGTCATTGCTGCAGCTTTTTATACGTCGATTCAAAATTTGTATCCGATGACTCACACCGAGTGAAAAATCCCAAACAAATAAAACAGCATTTAGATTTGACTTTTTGAGGCGTCTACAATAGCTTGGGAGCACCAGGAGAAAAGCTGCAGCTTGTTTTGATCATTCGCAGACGGACGGCAGACCCCCTACCTCGGCGGAAGAGAGGAAGGGATGGCCGGACCCAGGAATCGACAGGTAGTTTTCGCTGCCGCCAGGGAACTGAAACACACAGGAGAAAACTGAGTTAGAGGCCACAAGTTCCCCCTATTACAAACTAATCCTGGCTTTTTTTTCCCCTTTTTTTACAGGAACCAAAACAACAACAAAAAAAGTGTTAACTTTGCCTTACAGAAACGCAGAGTGCCGCCATCTTGGGGGTGAAGAGGGGAAGGATATTGACAACCTTCACCATCTTTTTCCATTTCATTTTAATTCAGCAAATTTCATATATTGAGATGTTAACTTGTGCAATATTGCAAACAACTGCCTAGATACAATATTTGTAAGTATATTGTAAATTAAATGCCATGTATGTAATTTCCACATGTCAAACTACACTGCCTGTTCAAAAAAACAACAGATTTAAAAGTCTCTGCAAAAGCCTCCTCATTGTTATTGCAAGATTTTTTTGTTTTGTTTTGTTTGTTTTTTATCTGGTGAAAAAAAAAGTACTCTGAACATGGCTAGACGAATCCTTTGTTATTGTGACGGGGCTATTGACAAGTTTTCCCAGACCAAATTTTCCAACGTGATAAATTGTCCCAGATAAACGATAAGATTTTTTTGGTTTTCGGCCATTTTATAAAGATAATAGCATATATAATGCAAGAACACATTCTCAAAGATCAATAAACTTGAAATTCTAATGAACATCCTTTTCTGGAACTAAAAAACATTTTAAAAAAAAAAAAAAAAAAAAAAAAAACAGGAACCAGACATAAAAATGACTTATGACGTATCTGTACACAGAATTATCCTCCAAAAAAAGGGGCAAACTTAAGACGTTTGTCATCCAGATTGCGTCTTGTTGCCATTTGCGACAATAGTTTCTATTAAAGCATATTTGTGTGCTAACATGGCTCAGCCAAAGTCCAGGTTGGAAATTTGTAGTATAGCTTATAACTATGTTGAAACAACACAAAACGCATTGAATTTTATAGGTGTACCATGACAAAAGGTTCATGGCACCATGTGAAAATTTTTCCTGCCACCAAACCTTGGAGAGAGTCTAGATTTAAAACAACAATGGGTTAGCTTTTGTTGTTTTAAAAAAAAAAAAAAGCTAAACGATAACAAAAAGAAAATCCCTAAAAATACTAACTAGTAATTCACTTGGATGTTTAGCTTTGATTGTAAAAACAGGAGCCAAAAAATAAGTGACAGTGTTACTGACTGCTGCAGGAACTGTGTGTTTTGTTTCCTTTCACCTTGCTGTCAGAGTCAAATCCATTGAAGGCATGCGGGTCCAAGAACTCTGGATCAGCGTCGTGCTGACCGGTTCCGTCTGTTAAATCCGAGTAAAAATTGAGGTCCATGTTTTCAGCTGGGCCTTAGCATTTACCAGTCGCTTCTCTTTGTTTGGTTTTGCAGTTAAATATTGTGGAAGCCTCCTCAGGCAGCTGCTAATGGGGATACAAGTTCCCCCCTCCGCCGTCACCACACTAGCTGTATCTGCTTGCTCCGTCCGCACTGACAGCTCTGCTGCTGACAATGTGGGGGAAACACTGGGCATGTGTTGCCCCCAGCAGCCGTGCCAAAAATAAACCGTCCGCTGTGCGAGGCTAGCCGCCGGGTTAGCGTGGCCGTTAACCGTCTTTCTTGCTGACTTGTCCCACACCGCGGCTTTTAGCCCCTTTAGCCTGGCTACACCGCTACCGCAAGGCTGCGGTACTCAGACCGCCACCGCCAGCCCCGGAGCCCGTCTGTCTGTCCGTCCGTCCTTGGGCGTTTCATTCGGACTCCCTTCGAGAGTATCAACCGATAGAAATGTTAATGTAGCCGCGAGAGGTGTGGGGGAACGGTTCAAGGTGTCTGACAGGCGGAGGAAGACCGAGCAATCCGCCGTGTCTGCGACGTGTTAGCCCGGGCTAGGATGCTCAATGGATTCCCGAGACGTGGATCGAGGACGGCAGGGTAAAGTTACGCGGAAGAACAACCGGATGTGAGGTGAAGGTTTCAAAATAACAATCGATAACCCCCCCCCTCCCAAGACCAAACCAAACCAAACCATACGGTATTTGGCTAATTTATTTGGTTACAATTAAATGCTTACATTACTTTAAACAAATAAATGCAACAAAAGGGATTTGGGATTCAAATTGCATCAGGAATCGGGACGAAAACGGATTTAAGCAACTTTGAACCTGGCATGCATAATACGATGATTGGCTTTAAGGATTGAGATTTCCATGCGCTAGATTTAAATTAACATAAATTACAACAACATTTAATTTACCTTTAGGATCAATAAAGTATTTTTGAAATTGAATTTAATCCCAATTGTCAATTTGACTATTTCAATTCCAGTTCTAGCAAGCTGCATGAACTGGACAAACAAACACCAACAATTCTGCAACAGTTCTGCATTTCTTTTCCTTCAAAAAAGAAATGAAAGATTCTGCATAAAGAAGTCAGAAACAAAAGTTATTAATGTTGAAAAAACTGGGAAAATGGGTCCAAAGAGGAATAAAAAAAAGTAGCAAACCACTGTTGGTACATCTACAATACCAGACATTTAACAAAGCACCTAAAACTAGTCAAATGTTTGTCCACAATCACTGTCTACAAACTAAGCTTGAGTTCATATAAACAATTGTTTAATTGGAAATGGTTCTGTACCAAGAATATTCAATTCGACATGATTATTTCTAAACTGCTCCAGTTTCAATTTAATTTAACATGATTTAGAAATAAATATCAATGTTGGCATTTAAGAATATGATTATTTTTATTTAATTCAGTCATGGGTTTATGTTTGAAATATACATTTAAAGCGTGGAAAAAGTTGTCACGTAAATATTTCAGATTAAAAAAAACAACTAACTGCCTTCTAAACCTAACAACTGGCAAATCAGCTTCACTGGAGGTTTTTTAAAGCATGAACAGCCTGATGAAAATCATGCATCAAATCAAGCCCAGACTTTGAGTAGGCCACTTCATAAACATTCCCCTTTTTGTTTTTGCTTTATTGGATTCAATCACAATCCATTTGGACACAAACCCAAAACCAGACAATGTCATTGCATCAATTTTTCCAAGTCATCCAGCGACAGCTTATCACACTACCACCACCATGTTTGAATATTGGTACCATTAGTATGATGGATGGAACAAGTTCCACTTTTGTCTTGTCTATTCATCAAGATGTATTATAGAACATATGACTTTTTGTAGGGGATTTTTTTTCTTTTTTGTCCTCTCTTGTCTTTTGACTAAAAAAGGCAGGGCTTTCATGACCTCCTAGTTGAGAGGTCAGTACACTCCCAGAGTAATATCAGTAGGCCAGCCACTCCTACCCTTTTCTCAATTTGTAGCTTATCTTTTTCTTTCACGTTTCATTTAATTTTGAAAGCGCGAACCGGAAGTCGCCTTTTAGAAGGTACTAGAGCCAGATATCCCTTTGCTACATATTGACCATGGCTCGACAATAAATTTGAAGGAAGATATTTTTCAGATGCCGTTTATCGGAGTGCTTTAACAATTTGAAAGTGAAACAGGAGTATTAATTAATCTACATCCTCACTGGATCCGTGCAAACATATTTGGTGACTAAACTAAAAAATGTGTGTTATGACCGGTAAAAGTTCGAATAAGATAACTTACTAAGGCTGGCCAGTCCTTGATAGAGACTTTAATCACTTTAAACCACATTCAAGCATTGTTAAGTTGTTAAGACTAAACGTTGTGTCTACAGACCCTCAAGTTCGCTTTTTAATTGTAAAAGCACTTTAACTGAATTTTAAAAGAGCATTTTCAATAAAGTGACACTAATAAATCAGATCAGACCAGCTGATCCGCTCAACAAGGCCATCATTGTGATTGTGAAGACCAAACATCCTGTGTTATAGTTTATTAATCTTTTATTTCTACATGAAATATGTTCAAAACCAACTACTCTTACCTCCATCCTCACCCCGAAATCTGAATCACGTTTTGTTTTGTTTTTTAAATCCCACTTTTTAAGCAGAACTTCGCCCACAATTTCAACCAATATAACATGGCACCGGCTTCCTGATTGTACGCGTTCGTGGAAGTGACGTCGTTAGGCCGATAAAGTATGTCAACGTTTCAAAATAAGAGTAAGGCTGTGAATTATGTTAAAATGTAAAGTTTCAAACAAATGAGATCCGTTTAAGACTATATTCTTTGCATCATTTCAAAGTAAAAAGTATATTTGGATAAAACTAAAACTCGGCCATAAAACTACATATTTCACAGAAGACTAAGTTTTTCCCGATTCATAAAACAAACAAAAATAGACAGCAATGTCTTTCTTTAAAATTGCTTTATTCCCATTTTTTAAGCAACATTTTTTTCATGATTTTTATAATAATGTAATTTAAAAAAAGATAAAACTTAAGGTCTTCTGCCCTTATGTACAAGCGAGATCATCTTCAGGAAATAAAAATCAACATAATATAATCCTTGCACAACAATGAAAATAAAATAAAAAATAGCATTTGAGAGGGATAAAACATCTCTAGAAGATTCTAAAATTGAACATTAAAATCACAAGCATTCATTTTACATACAGACATGTGCGCATACACATAAAGCAGAACGTGAGTGGGGTTATTTTGAGGTGTGGAATGAGATGGTTGTAGGATATAAAGCTCGAACTGCTGATATTCTTTCGAAGAACAAAGCGAGATCAAACATGTGACATCACATTCATACCTCATTTACCCAACATGCAGTGCGGTGGTTCGTGCCACAACGGTCCAGCTTGACCACTATTATTCGTTTCTCGTCTTTCTGAGGCTAACACAAGCTATAACGAACGAGTCTGATAGTTTATAAAAAGGAGTTATGCCGATATCTCTTCTCATGCACTCCACCGGGCTAGCTACAGGTCCAAAACCTCTAATCACGTTGTCAATGGTCATTTTGGTTTTACATGGAGTTCAATAAACATTTAACAAAATAAAAAGGCAGCCCTTCTTTTCAGATATGTCGTCATAGCAACCGAACCAACCGCCATCAGCGCGGTAATCGCATCTAAACGATTAATCGACAATGATATGTGCCTCTAAGAAAGTCGTTTTTTTATTCACATAAAAAAAGTTTTGTTCTTTAAATGCTGGAACGAAATTGGTAGGAGTCTCTCTCTCTCTCTGTGTGTGTGTGTGTGTGTGTGTGTGTGTGTGTGTGTGTCTGTATAGGGGGTGGGAGAGTGTACTTAGCTGTCATTATAATTGGCCCAAGAAAATTTTATTTTACATCTATACTTTAAAACAAAATAATATTCTTGGAGGTCCTAAGAATAAATTTTTTCTGTTGATTCAAATTATTGCTTCACATGATTTCTTCAAAACATCTACCTTTACTATTACCTACCATTAACGTTTAAGAACAATTGCATAATTAACTATAATGTGTCTTTTGAAAACATAATTTTTAATTTGTGCTTAAGTCTGCATTAAATTTAATATTCTGGTTCATAAATGAGAGAAACCCAAAAGGAATTTATTTTGAATTTGGTAAATAAATAATAATAAAAAAAAAACAGAGATTCTACAATATTAGTTTCAGACAAATACCAAAGTCAAACATTTGTGCAACAAAACTGATTTTAAAGTTGCTGTATCATGAGCTTTAATGTCTACAAAATAAATGCTGAGTTTGGTGTTCATCTGTTCCTGTAGATGGAAAACGATACACGAGATTATCTGCTTTACTCTCAACTTTACTGTTATTTGCTCCATGTGTAATTCTGGAATAAACATTTATGTGCCTTCCGAAATAATAATAATAATAATAATACTCAATAATAAAAAATCAGTAATACTCCTCTTGATACCAGACATTTAGGTCTCACGTAGCAAACTAACAAACCAAAATACATTCTGTACAAAAAGCAAACCCTGAGTTTCGTTGGAGGAACGACTGCATTGTTTTCAGACCGATCATATTTACTTTAACTGATCCACTGCCTAAACACACCTGCTTCGAACAAAATGCTGGTCCCTTCAACAGATCAAAGATCTTCCAGGTGAGCAATTCCCACAAACGCACACATACACACACAGACACATGCACACACATGATTGCTATGGGTTCTTGTTGCTCAATCGTGGAACTGTGTTGGCATTTCCTCAAGTCAACATAATTGGAGTAGAAACCACCATCATGGCAGAAAATGAGTGAAGATGAAAAGTTTGGTGGGATGACAACCAATGCTGCAGCCAGCGACGGTCTATCCCACGCAGACCACACAGAACCAACCCATCTCCTGTCTTCTCCATGATTGGCTTGCTTGTTGAACAGTGTCTTGTCCAATCAGGAGTAGATGGTGATGACTTCACTTCCGCCTCCTCGGACCAACAGGACGCGCTCCAATCCTTCCGTCAGAACCTCCAAGAACTCCATGTCTAGGTTCATGAGTTAAAACTTTACAGCTTGTATTAGAACTGGGGCTGCAACTAACGATTACTTTAGTAAATCAATTATTCTGACAATTAATCGATTAATCTGATAAAAAGAGACTTTTCATTTAACAATTTGCTCCTTTTTTATACAATATACACTGAAAGACGCAATCAAAGAATGAATTTATTTAAAAATAAAAGAAAAAAACATTTTCTTGCCTGAAATGAAACAGATGAAGCTAAAATTTTGTTACTAGGGGAGTTTTGAGTAAAACATATATACAGACGAAGGTGCTTTTATCTTAAATGCAAGCTATATTTTTCCGAAAATGGAAAGGATACAGTTCTCGTCTCCGTCCGTGTTCTTCGGGGGCCCCGGCATGTTGAGCAGGACGAGCCGGGCATCGTGGGATTTGTTCACGATGACTTCATTGAGCTTCACAGCGGTGTGCATCCTTCTGACGTTGGAGTGGTCCCTGAAAGAAAAGCAAAAAAAAATAAAACACAATCACACCCCTCTCCAGGCCACTGCGATCAGACATTAGTGCATCGCTA